GACCATAATCCGGGACAGAATAAATCTCTACTTAGAGGAACACGAGGTAATTAGAGACAGCCAACATGGATTTGTTAAAGGCAAATCTTGCCTAACAAATCTAATAGAATTTTTTGAAGAGGTGACTGCGAGGGTTGATGAGGGAAATGCGGTGGACGTTATTTACATGGATTTCAAAAAGGCTTTTGACACAGTTCCACATGAGAGATTAATAAAAAATTAGAGGCCCACGGTATTAAGGGGACAGTGGCAGTTTGGATTAAGAACTGGCTGAGTGACAGAAAGCAGAGGGTAGTGGTTAATGGGTGTTTCTTGAAATGGAAGGAGGTGTGCAGCGGTGTCCCCCAGGGATCGGTATTGGGACCATTACTTTTTCTAATATATATTAATGATCTGGACTTGGGCATAGAGAGCACTATTTCCAAGTTTGCAGACGATACAAAGTTAGGTAGGGTAGTAAATAGTGAGGAGGACTGTAACCAACTGCAAGCAGATATACACAGAATGGTGGAATGGGCTGACATGTGGCAGATGGATTTCAATGTGGATAAGTGTGAGGTGATACACTTAGGTAGGAAAAATGATAGGAGGCAATATAGACTTGGTAGCTCAATCTTAAGGGAGGTGAACGTACAGAGAGATCTGGGTGTTCAAGTAAGCGAATCATTAAAGGTAACGGGGCAGGTAGATAAGGCAGTAAAAAAGGCATTTGGTGTACTGAGCTTCATTAGTAGGGGCAGAGAGTGTAAGAGTAGGGAGGTTGTGGTTAATCTATACAAAACACTGGTTAGGCTGCAGCTGGAGTATCGCGTCCAGTTCTGGGCACCTTACTTCAGGAAGGACATTAAGGCACTGGAGAGGGTGCAGAGGAGATTCATGAGAATGATACCAGGAATGGGGAACCTTAGCTATGAGGACAGGCTGGAAAAGTTAGGACTTTCCCATTAGAGCAGAGAAGGTTACGTGGGAACCTGATAGAGGTCTTCAAGATCATGAAAGGTTTTGACAGGCCAGATAGGGAAAAGCTGTTTCCGCTGGTCGGTGTCTGTGACCCGTGGTCACAGTCTTAAGATATCTACCAAAAGAAGCAGAGGGGAGGTTAGAAGAAATTTTTTCACTCAGCGAGGTGTTCGAATTTGGAATGATCTGCCTGAAAGGGTAGTGAAGTCCGATTCGATAACAGCTTTTAAGAGAGAACTGGATAGGTATCTGGGGAAGATGGGTTTGCAGGGTTATGGGGAGAAAGCTGGTGATTGGGGTTAGTGAAAGTGACTTGCTCTGTCAAAGAGCCGGCACAGACTCGATGGGCCGAATGGCCTCCTTCTGTGCCGTAACATTCTATGAATCTATGAAAAGAAGTAAGGTCTTTAGCCGAGACCTGAAAGTAAAAAAGTCGTGTGATTCTGAGCTGTAAAAAAAAACATGATGACCCCAAGGTTAACTTCTGGTCTGTGCTAAATTAAAATAAGGCGGAGATGAACGCTACAAATAGCCTTTACACTGCTGAGCTATAATGATAATACTTGCACTTGTTATGATACTTAGGTTTGTTATAGTGCCTATGATGTCAAATAGTCTCAAAGCATTTTACAGATAATTACCGTCGAGGAGTAACTTCTTTTGTAGGCAAATCTTAAACTGGCTGTTCCCACAAACAGCAAGGAGGTGAATGATTATTTAATCATTAGGATTGTTGACTAGGCATCAGGAGGAACTTCTCTGTTTTTGAATAATGTGACAAAACCTTTAATGTCTCATCTGAACAATAAAATGGGACTCCAGTTTAGTGATAATCGACAAGGGTAAAATGTCAGCAAGGATGACTGTTCCAAATCTCTATTCCTTGACTCTTTAACAAACTTTAGGCGAGGATAGGATCAGACTTGACTGTGATACCCCAAGATTATTAGTAGCTGATATAGTATTTATTGTGCAGGTTCCTATGTTAGAATTGGATACCTGAGATCAGGAGATTGACAGTGTCTCTGAAACCAAACCTTAACATAAATCACTGTCTAAAAGAGAAGAGGTTTCTTCTGTTTGGGGCTATTACAGCTATTATTGAAGTTGGATTCTATTTTCGACGTGTTCTGAAATGGTAATCATATTACTGCGGAACAGGTGAAAGTCATTCCAGTAATGGTATAAAATGTATTTCTCATTGAATGTGTGTATATTTTAACTATGTTGGGCTACACTGACAACGTTAGTGGTAAATATTCTAAAGATGTAAAGAAGCAAAGTGGGCTTGAAATCAACATAGTGAACACAAATAAACAGTTCAAACAAATGATATTGAATATGGTACTACATTTAGTTTCTCAAGAATATGGCTGACTGACTTTGTAAAGTAAACTGTTGGAATGTGAATTATTGTTGTGCAATACATTATACTACCTGTTGGGCTAATCAATTCCTATTATTCATGTCTCGAAGAACATGTTGACATGGGTGGAGTAGCTTATGGTAACATTGAGATAGCATGCATTATTAATCTGTGGTACAAATCGTGTTTGTGCATGTCATGGCATAAATATGGAATAAGCCAGTTTTCATTTTCAAAGTCACATAGGCTATGAGATTAGTTGATATGTGACTTTTGTTTTATGAATGATATTATTGGGGCAAGTTTAAGCTGCTTTCCTTGTGATGATAACGATGTTTGTTGCTGATCTAAGGGAGTATTGTGAGGGTCAATCTGTTTATAGTCCTAACAATGTTTGTTCGTGAAATGAACACTGAAATATTTGAACAAGGTGGCTCCAGAAAGATTTCTATAGCTTTCCTGTTGCTCATTGATGCAAGCTTCATTTGTTGCAGAAAGTACAGTTGGTCTAACTTTTATATCGATTCTTTTTAAATAGTAACTGCAATATGAATACTAAATTAATACGCATCTGTTATCATAGTCGGAGGAGGGTACAGGATTTTGTTATGATTATTGATCATTACTTCAGGTTTCCAGCTAGCGTGAAGCTACTGCCTATAAAACACTAAATATGAGATTGCATTTAGAAAATAGGTTTAAGTCTGAAGTGCAAGTTTAGGACAGACACAGGGAAGTATTTCTTTCTAAAGAGGGTAATCAGCAGCTGGAACGGGTTATGAGGAAGAATGATTGAAATCTGTATACTGGAATTTCATTTATGAACCACTTACTGCTGTAATGAGAAGACATAAGGATAGATATTTTAAAAAGATGTTTTGGGTGAGGGTTCAGAGCAAAAGGATGCTTCTGGGTCAAACCAAGGCAGAAATTACGTTCGCTCTATATTTTTAGGGTGGGTTTCTCTGCTAGTGAATTTTTATTCTTTTCCCTCCCTGGTTCTGATGGTCCCATTATACAATGTGCTACGCCTGACAGTGGTGGGTGAGTTAAACATTTGCAAAGACCAGTCTAATTGTCCACTTTAAAATATGAAAAGATTAGTTTTTCTTTTGGGTTTCCCTCCTTCCTTTCCTTGAGGGAAAATGCCTTACCTGCACTTGGCTCCCCTTAATGAGGTGACTGAAATCAATAAATCAGACAGCAAGGAATCACTGGGTCAAGGGAATCTGAATTCACATAAATTGTTGCAATGACACAGTCATAATCTAACCTCTTATTATTGAGATCCTTTTACTGTTGACACATTAGTTATTACTCTTATAAGTGAGATCAGTGTCCAAGTCACTTTTCTGTGTTTAAAAGGCATTAAAACCCCTATAAAATCTACTGTGTGATAACACCATTATGTATGTTTACATGCTTATTCAACTTTGTGTGGCTAGGCTTGGTTGCAATTGGACTTGAGTAGAACCATCTGGGTTCTTGGAAGGTTATGGTGTAGTCAAAGCAATTGTAATGAATGGTAAAATATCATTCATGAAACTTAGTAAGTGCGCATAAGCTTCTAGCCTCTTTGTGCAAGTTATTGCTTTCTGACTGGGCTTGATGGTAATATATGGATGTGTTTGAACAGCTGTACCTGTCAGTCTGAAACCGATAATCCTGTGGGAGCCTTTTGTATATAGTACACAGCGTAGTTCAGTCTAAGCAGCTTCCCTCACTACAGCTAACATATTCACCAGGGTACAAGTGTATCATGGACATTTCCTTAAGTACTTGAGATGATACTTGTAACAGACAACTGCTAAAGTATTAGTTTACTTTGCTGATGACAGGGGTTTCCGGCATCAGATGTCTGTGTTGGTGTGTACTCAGTTTGTGAAGTGTGGGATTCGTCTGCTTGCCTCCTCTCAACCACATCTAAGTTTTACAGTTTGGGTTTTCTATGCACCAAATGTAAATCAAGGATTTTGAAAAATAAAGGTATTATTTATTATTATTTTAAAAGTAAATACAAAAAGAAATGTAGTTCAGCAATATCGATAGAGATGTCCAAGGCAGTACTTCAGTGATCTGGGGTTTCTAGTTTTTAATGATGCATTCACTCACCCCTGTAACAATCCTAATTGGTGCACACTTTATTCATAACATCATCAGTTTGTGAAGAAAACAAGTGTTCAGTACAGTTTACCAGAAGAGTGTTTCAGTTTGTTGGTCTTATCATTAAGACTTCATATCAACCTACTTAAATACAATTAAAGTTGCCATGCAACATAATGTGCTTATTTTAACTTTTGGCTCATAGATGTTTCATTACACCAGCCTTTGTAAGATTTAATGTCGCAATGTGCCCTATTGTAGACTGATTATATATCTATAATCTTGGCTGCATTAATTGACATGAAAATTTGAACCTAAGCATTGTTCATTTTATTTAATTGACATGAATGAATTTCAGAATCTTATTAAAAATTATAACAGTAAATTATTATAATTTTTCTCATGCGCATTAGGTTCTGAATTGAGTAAACAAAATATTTTGTTCAAAAATTGGATTGTACCTTTTGTAGACTTAGCATAATATTTATAATTTCTTCAAATATTTAGCAGTTCATAATACAGGTACTGCTTTTAAATGAATTGTTCCTTTTTTTTCTCAGGATTCTGAATCTTGGACGCTTGTATTCAGAGTACCCTTTCAGCACTCTATCCCCCCTTCGAGGCTACAGCAGCTACAGTGCTATGTCACGTTTTTGATGTGGTGGAGAAAACTTATCGCGGTGACGGATTGCGCTACCTCATCGATTTCCTTGTACCGGCTAAACACATTCTGCAGTGCATTCAGCAGGACTCTTGTGTAAGTGTGTTATAACTGAATATGATCAATAGGGAGTTGGGGGGAGAGAATCAGCACAACACTTGGTATGCAGTAAGGCTACAGTACTTTAATGCAAACTTAGAGTTCATGTATAGTCTTAAGATGACATTCCCAAGCAGTGTTGGGGATTTCCTGCATTGTTGTGAGGTGCTGTCCTTTGGATGATTCGGATGATGCTTTAATGCTACTTGAATTAGCAGTGGTCCTACTTGCTAATTCAACTGGCATTAAAGATCCCGTGTCACTGTTCGAAAAGGGAAGGGAGTTTCTTCCGGTGAGCTGGCCAAAATTCCCCCAAAATAAAATTGGTCATTCATTTCAAGGTTGCTTGTGGGACATTGCTTTGTGCAAATTGGCTGCCACGTTCACCCAAACAACAGACACTGCACTTTACAATATAGTTGCGAAGCACTTTGGGATGTTCTCCTGAAGGGAAAGGCCCTACACCAAATGTAAATGACTAAAATATAAATACTATAACCTTCCAATATGTATTGATCTGATTTGGCTTTTTGAAAAATAAAAATAGCAGAACAGAACAAGGTACACCCTCTTTTGTGTCCCTGTGGGTAAATAGTGAGAAACTGAGTCATACAAACCAGACAGGTTTTCATATCGGGTCCATCATCTGTGCTGGATGAGCAAATTTCAGCCGTGTGACTTCCTACCATCATTCATTCAAGGCATTTTTTGGTGCTATTTCCTTCATCTAGAGAAGGAACAGTGCTTACCACTGACCTTACCATAACCACTGGTAATGCTAATGGGATGAACTGAAATGAGTGAAACAGCATCAGGTTGTGTCCCAAAAATTAAATGCTTGATATTATGAAGTGTAATAAATACAAGTAATAAGTATAGTTAACACACCCATCTGAACTATTATAGGCAGACTTAAAAAATGGGGACTAATCTGTTGATTACTGGCTGGGAGCTAATTCTGTAAGTGTTATGCTATCTTACTACCAGTAAATGGTTGAGTATAAAAGTCTAAAGAGTAAAAAGAAGTAAAAGAAATAAAAGAGTATAAAGAAATAAAATTAAAGAAATTGCATTCTCTGTTTGATTGTTGAAGAGGCACGCCTACGGGATCTATTTATCATTGATTGCTTGATTAATGAAACGATTAACTTGCAAAGGTCAGCATGTGTGTCACAGTGAGATTGAATCGTGACAGTTTTCACCTCGTACGTCGAATTTGTATTGCTTCATTGGAATTTGGTTACAGCCAAACATAAGGGAAGTAGTCCAGTTCTGCTTGATCTTTGCATGAATTGGCAGGTGGTGCAACATGAACCTTTTAAACTTTAATTAATAGATATAATATAGTCCCGCCATCTCTGGACTCTAGTTAAAAAATAGCTTCTATTTGGATCATAAATTGAGCTTTGTGCATCCACATAGGGTTGTGTCTATGGAACTCAATTTGCTTAAACTTTGACGAGATGAATGCAATCAATGAATGCAGTGAAGCCAATTCACAAGAGACGTGTAAATATAGGTCTGTTTTCAAACTTTGGTACTGAATGTCTCACAGTATTTTTTTTGTATTCCTGCATTCCATTCCTAGTTTATTACTGTAATTTTAGTGGGTTTTTTTCAACATTGCAAAACTGGTCAGCCCATGAAGACCAGAATATCTGTGAATCTGTCAACAGTCTAAAGGTTAAATATTATATGTGAAAATAAAAGTTGTGAAGTATGTAACCCTAATCCTAGGAGGGAGGAATCCACAACACCGCATTGATTTAAATGAACATTTGGTTTGACATTTATTTCTAAATCTATGAAAATCTCTGAATTGAGCGTGAAAAGAATGGAATGTCAAGCCGGGGCAGAACAGAGACATTCTTCAGAGGTTTGGGTTGAGATGCTTTGTTCAGTGTAATCAGAAACCTATTTTCCCTGTAACCTGAATGTAGCAGCACCAGGTAGATAACCTGCTCCTTTCTCCACCATTCTGATTCCTCGTCACAATCACCAAAAGTTTAGTTTGCGTGAGTTTGTGTTTGCTTGGGATTAAAGCATTTTCTGGTTGTCATTAATGTTTGTTCTGATTCAAGATAATTTATCTATTCAGCAGATTAGAGATTGCCTAAAGGGCAATCCAAAGGGCACCATCTGTTTACGGGTGCATTAAAAAAAATTGCAGGTAAATATCTAATCTAGTAAAGTCAGTTAAAAGTTCCATTTAGTCAGTAAAAATGTGGCATGAAATTGTCAAAATATCCACAGCAAAGAAATTCTGGATCAAATTTTATGAATGTTTGTATTTGGATTACCACAGTCATGATTGGTATCCATGGCATTAGACCTGAGGCTGTCCAGCATTTTTTCATTATAATGTCTAGTGCTGCCTTGTTTTTTACATTGTAAACAATGTGCTGGCAAGAGTGGGAAGAGGAATTAAAAAGGGAGAGAGGGATTTATCCAGGTTCTGATCTTCAGTAACCCACAATGCTAAAAACATTTTGAAACAATGTTTGCATATCTTGTAAGAGAGCATTTTAATTTTATTTTTCAGCAAAGCTGTCTTAATTGTCTCCTACTTTCAGAAAGGCATTGATTTTTCCTGAAGGCATGTTTCCAAAACTGTTTAGATTAATTGATCAGAAAGATTTTAACATTCACTTCAGATGAAAGTTGGGTTAATTACAATAACTGCAGTGGAGTCATTTTATGCTGTTTTATATTATACTGCTGGCAGTACCGTCTCTTAGTTTTATTAGGTTCCTGTTTTTCATCTGTGCACACATGGAATATATTACATTGCGTAAATTATGCTATTAAATTATACATTCTGCGTGTGTGAGACCTTTGGAACAANTTTTTTCCCTAGAGCGACTGCTACCAAAAGAATGATGGCAGAGGCCAGAAGATTCATCTAAGTATTATAACAACAATTTGTGTTTATATAGCGCCGTTCACGTGGGTAGTGCACATCAAAAAATATTCTTGTTACATACAAGATCAAATAATTAATGGCAATCTCTTTTCTATTGCATATAGTTCAGATACAGTGGACTACTATTTCGCCATCAAGGTTGGCCTTTGTGCATCCATGAAAAAATTATAATACATCTTTCAGCTATTGACTGGCGAACTTTACGCCCTGGTGATTTCTACCTTCAAGTTGTGCCACACCTTAAGAAAACCCCACGTATTGTAGTAAAATGTCTTGCAAAAGACAGATACAATGTAGAAGAAGTCATAGTCCCCGAGGTCTCCTATACTTCCATCTTCACCATGGAATGGTTGGACAACATTAACAAGGAACGGACGGGATCAGCTTTGGAAAATTGTCTTTTGTCAACTGATAACAACAACTTCCGAGTCCCCTGGGAGGAGGTGGTGAATCCAGAATTTGTTGAGAAACCAAAAATGATTGAAAATATGACATCAGGAAGCTGGGCCATAGATCAAGAAATTATGTTTAACAGACGCAGCAATTCCACATTAAATGATCACAGCCGACAATGTGAGAATCATTCTGAAACAACTTGTGGAACCCAAAGATTTACTACAAATATGAAAGAAAAAGAACTTAAAGATGAGGTAAGCCCTACAAAAACTTTACAGTATTCACTAAGTACAGTTGGAGATGGTTTAGATATTTCTGGTACAGAAATTTCCCTTCAAGAACTTGAAGGGGAATATGTGGAACTTCGACAAATTTCAACGTTCAGTGAAAGTGGTTACCTTGTGCCAACTGGAAGTTCAAACATAAAACCACCACAGAGAATGAGGACTAATAGGCCATCGGAAACGATCCCATTTGAAGCCTCAACTCATACCCCTTGTTCCAAGCACCTTATATGTCCAAATCCTATGGCAGATGATCCCAATTTAACTGGGAGACCCTATTCAGAAAAAACAGACAGTTCATTTAATTTACACTGCAGTACAAGTGACGATGTGATTGAACAACGATCGCTTCCTGATGCAATTGAAAACAAATTAACATATCACAATCGGACTTGGAGCAACAATGAGAATAAAGAGCTTTGCGCAATTACAAAGATGAAGCTGTCTTCATCAGTGGAAACTGGCCTTCATCAAAAAGAAATGCATCATTATTGTTGCGGAGATGTTTGCTCATTAATTAACCAACCCACAAATGTAGTAGAAAACAAATTAAGCTGTAGAACTTTGGAATCTCAAGTTCCCAACCACATTTGCGAACAACAGTTACAAGATAGTCAAATTCAAAGTGGCACAAACAGTTCAACACCGAAGTCACACACAAAGATTGATTTGCAAGACTGTAAGAAAGCATGGCTGGTGAAGGAATTTCCCCAGGACAGAAGTCATCAAAATATACCTGAAGAAGATATAATTGAAAATGATAATAGTCAGCACATACGTGTGAATGAGCAGGAAAGCACATTGATGGAATTTACGACTGTTTCTGACACAGGATTTTCCAATCATCAGTTGACCAACTGTAATCTCCTGGCTTGTCAGCCATCAGCTAGCACTGCAGAAGTTTCAAATATTGCTGACAAAAAGTCTGCTAAGTACACACAGGCTTTAGATGAAAGCTCAGGACAAAAAGGCACATCAAAACAACAACCAGATTATGTTGAAAGTGCACAACTCAACAGTCAGATACCTACTTCAAATCTACAGCTTACTAGTGATGGAATTCAACCAACAGCAGAGTATGTTCAGCAAAAATGCATTGCAGATGTTCAATCAGTAGGTTCTGTCATTTCTTTAAACCATTCTGTCAAATACGAAGACGTTATTAACTCTGAGAATTTATCTGAGAATTTTGCAAGTGATGAAAATTCTGATCGTTCATTGAACGAGAATAAAAAGCACATAGGGGATGGAGTTGATGGATTGGTTGAGGAATGTACAGAATATACCACTTGCCAGTTACTGGATGATACAGGCACTGTTGAAAAATTATTTAATGAGGGTGTGAAACCTACAGCCAACTCTGATCATTCAGATCTAAATTTAACACTATGTACAGAATATTCAGAAGATCGTAGGTCTGAATGTATGAAACAGACTGATAGCGTATCTTCTGAATCCCTGGTAGATCAAAGTACAAATTTACATAAATGTTCAGTTGTTAAAGAAAAAAACGAACAGCACTTGAACAGTGGAACAGAGCAGATGTCAGTAAATTTGGAATATGCTAATACTGGACAAACGCAGAATGATTTTAACAAGCAAGATCATACTACAAACGATAATTTAGACTTGGCAAAAGACTCAAATGTACAACTTCATGAAAAAGTAGAATTATTACAAAACAATGAAAATCCATTGACACAAGACTTGCCTGATGAGTCTGTTGTGAAAACTACTGCATGTTATGAGGAAAAGAGTGATGGCCAAAAAGATTATTCCACTGTTGAAGAATATTGGTCAAATGTAGTAATGCTAGAATCTAGCATTGCCTACTCAAGTACATTAGGAACCAACAAACTTGAACCTCCTCCTGCAAGTACTGATGTAAATNAAAATATTTCCTTTGCCGAAACTGCACTGAAGCAAGATTCAAATGAGCGTAACGATGGATTAGAAAGGGAAGTTACTGAAAATGTAATCAATGTGAATGCGGAAGAAAGCAAGAAAAGCAAAGCTGATAAACATCCAGAAGGTATGAAATCCTTGAAATGTAAATTTTTTTTAACTATAGTATAACCAGTATTTTTGTTTTTCCTGGCATAGTTAGTTTGATTGCAAAATATTAGAGAGCATTTGAGGAATTCTTGCTGAATCCTTTTAACTAGAAATTTAACGTTGGATTTCTTTATTGCAATGTAATTTTGCAGTGTACCTGATTCATGGACATCAGTTGCCATGAGTTGATTCCGAATGGATCCCACAATTCAGATTGTCTGCAGGAGCATTTTATAACACTTTTTAATCTTAGTCAGAGGAAACTGTAGTTGCAGTAAGTGAATATTGCAGTCGGATCAGTGCAAGCAGTGTCCTATTGGAATTATTATGCATTGCGATGTGTTATGCATTAACCATTAAGCTTGTGAGGGTTGTAGTGTAGGAGTTCAACCACCCACTAGCTACAATCTAGTATGCTTCATTAAGAAACTATTTTGAGGAAGTCCAAGAGTTGTGAGCATTTACTAGTTGTGTCTCAACCTCAACGGGGGAAGCAATATCCATGGATGCAGTGATTAAATCGCTTCTTTGGCTACACTTAAGAGCATGGAATATGGATTTTTTTGTCATTAATGAGCATGTGAGATTTGGAATGGTGAACAGACTAAACTGCTAAGAAAAATGTAGCTCTGAAGAGATTGATTGGGCTGTAGGCACCCTTGAATGTCAGAGAATGCTTACTTTTCTATTCTGCTGTTTCCCTATCAATGAGAAAAAGAGGGTCCAACTAGTATTTTCAGGTTAGTGGTACCTTGTGAAGAAAGATTGCTCTACTCTGAGTGCCTGATTATATCTGTCATTGGCAGCTTCAATTTAGTTTAAAATATTGCTGACTGATTAAATAAATAATTATTGGCTATTATCACATCCTCCTGATGTCTTAAAGTGCCTCTCAGAATTTATTGCAGTATAAAATAGAGGATTTAAGAGAGAGAGTTGCATAATGTACATTAACTGACTAACTAAACTACAAAATGTTATTTGAAAACAAAATGTAACTTATGCAGTCGGATCAGTAACTTTACAGTATATCGACGCCACTATATAAAATGCAAGGATTATTAATGTAATAATCTAGGTAAATGTTGTGCAGGTTTTTGATGAAAATGTATAAAAACTGTGTATAACTGCTAGTACTGTATGTGCATATTTATTGTTGGGCTTCTGTTTGTGGTAGCATTCGACTAAGAATTCCTACTGAAAAATCTGCGATGANTTTTTTTGTCTGGTATTCTTTCTGCCTTAGTGCAGGACAGTTATCGAACGTTTTATTAATTTAGCAATGATTGGCAGTATGCAGTGGTGTATATTTTGCTACAATGTTATTAGAAACTTGCTTTTATTGCACTATTCCAGATAAAACATAGTAGAATTCACAAGCTGTGTGTTGAGCGATTTGCTTGAGTGTAATGCTTCCATCTATTTAGCATCCAACGTGATAAACAGGGACGTGTTCTTCGCCTACGCAATGGAAATGAGACTGTAGCAAATATCAGTTCACATTTTTGGCAAAACTATTTAGAATTTGCCAGAATACACTTTATAGTAAGAATTTTAACTTCTCTTCGTTTTGCATTTCTTGAATACAAATGTAAAGCACTGTTCAGAGAAATGTTCAGAATTTATATTCATGTTTTCATTAATTTTGAAATGGTCTTTATACTGTGTCAGTGAATAATTATCAGCTTGCACTAAATGTACAAAAGAAACCCTTCATGTGTTTTCTAGGCAAAGCAGTATTTTTGTCACATTTTGCAGATGCTGCTCCAGTCAACTCTATCATAGCATCTGAAAAGTAATAATAAACCTTGCATTTGATGTAGTGCCTTATCATGTCTTTGCAACATCTCAAAGCGCTTCACTGAATATACTGTAAAGTGAATTGACTATATCTTATGAGCAAAATATAGCAAGAGGCTGTACTGCAATGCAAGCGCATGATATCTGCTGATGCTAGCTCTCCTCACACTGGAGCTATCGACTTGAATCCCACGCCTCCTGCTCTTTCCCCTTTACGTCAATATTTTAACTTATTTGATTGGAATTTTACATCCTCTAATTTGAATCCAAGGTCCACCTGGATTTGATTTTCTGTTGCTGAGATGATTTTTGCCAATATCTTTTTGCCAATTGCCAGGAGACACAAAACATTACTCAGGCAGGACATGCACATTTGATTTGCAGTTATAATAATTCTTGCCTTTGATATAGCGTCTTATAATGTCGTTGAAATGTCTCAAAGCGATTCCAGAATATACTGTAAAGTGAATTGACTGTATTTTGTGGGCGAAACGCTTCCAATGCAAAGATGCTGCAATCTCAGTTTTGGATAAAGAACTGAATGGAGGATTGAATCTTCATTGCCTTACCATGTGGCACTGAATTTTCCAGTGGCCAGCAAGCGATGGTGAGGTGGAGAGGGGTGCACTAAGAGGGTACTAGGTACGAATTCCATATGCCCTGTGTCCAGTAAGCCAGGCGTTTACTGTATTTGCTGTATTCATGGAACATACAGACTTCAATTACAAAAATGATAATCCTTCACCTTTGCTCCCATGTTGTGCAGCATTCAACCTATGCAACCTATTCCTGGCCTCTCGATACTGAGATGCATAATGAAGACCACAGTGATTCATTGCTGCTTTTAGTTTTTCTCTCCCACCTGCAAACACACCTACAGGGAAGCATCTGCCCTCTATATAGTATTACCCTCAGTGGTTTAAGTGAATTTTGAAACTCATTGTGTGAGGTGAGGAGGGGAAATATGCCTGTATATTCACATCATTACCCTTTTGTGGGACTCCTACTGTGCTTCAAACTTGATTTCAGATTAAAACTGCATGACCCCACCATTTATCCTGTTATGACCACTATTGGACGTTGGGGAGAAAAATGCACTGCTAACCCATATTGGCTCTTCAATTTTCACAGGAGCTGCCAGGAAAACATTTCATAAGAGCTCATTTGCTGTTATGATGTTTACGTTGGCTAAGACTAAAGTTTTTTTCATGGCCACTTAGATCTTTAGTTCCTAGTACAGAGGTAACAGCTAACAACTAGAATATGTGCTTTGTGCAGTTTTTTTAATGGCTTTTGTTTCTGATTTGCAGTGAGTCACTCAGTAACATTATGATTGGCTGGAGTGCAGTAAGTTTAGAAATACAAAATAACTGCATTCAATTGAGTTAGACAATTGTTTCCCATTCTAATATCTTAATATGGAAATGCACTGAAAATTATAATTTTTGCAGGAACATAAGTGTTAGCTACTTATCAGTACATATCTGGTTTGTCCAGTGCTACTGATGTCCTCTACAACTAGCTTGTGGAGGAAGATGCAATTGAATTGCAAATTAAGGGCTTGTTGAATGAAGATGAGCAATGACCAACACAAAGCATTAATTTAACAGACAAAAGAAAATGCCCTGCATTGTACGACTATTGTATAGGATATTTAGCAACAATGTTTTTGCAATTACTTCTATCCAGTTACTAGAATATTATACGAGTCACTATGCAACAATTAGATGGAGATAATCAGAGGGCTGGGATAGTTCCAGAATAATATTTTAGGATGCACCAAAACAATTCAACAAGAGGACTTCAGGCAAATTTCAGTTCAGACGCCAGTAATTAGGGCCTGAAACATCTTGCCAGAGGGATGATTGAGGCCAGCACATTGACTTGTTTTTTTAAAAAAACGGGCTGATGCTGCGATGGGAAGACTGTACAGTTGTTCCAGAAAAGATGAGTTCAAATAGGCCAAATGACCTTCTTCACCCAAACCAATCTTATGGTGATGCCTGACAAGTGGAAAAATATGAAATCTGTCTAGAAAACTGATGAATCTGGTAGAGGCTAAAATGAATTATTTGCTAACCCAGTACAGTATTCAAAAACTCAAGAAAAGCTAACCACGCTGTCTTTAGAAATAGTTTGTTGCTTAGAATCAAGTGTCTGTGACTTAAACTTTTTGGATTTTAAATTTTTTCCATATGTATACATGTATATCTAAATGCAGCAATCATCCAATTCAATTCCTTTTTAATTTTATTAAATCTTTTCTACTAGGATTTGATTCCAAGACAAATGATGAAATTGATACAGGAAATCAAAGCTGTAACAAAAATACATCTAGGCTGACAGATCAACCGCCAAAGTCCTCACTGGCTAGACAACACACTGTGAATAAGCAGAAACCCTTGCCAATCAAGCATGAGGCTTTGTCTTCTTCACCACTTAAATCTAATTTGCCAACCCTTTACCAAGAAATCAACTTTGATGTTCTGCATTCCGGTGTAGCGTGTTTGACTGGTATGTACTTATTATCGTATCATTTTCAATACTGTATTCATAGCCTTCGCCACAACTATGTAAATGTATATGTTGGGGATTGTACAATTATCATGTATTGCCTTGGTTAAGAAGTATTAGCATTTTTGATTTAGTGTATCTTTGCTTACACAGTTGCAGTTAAGTGACATGACTTCTGCTTCAGCTGCTGACATTATCATTCACTAATCATGGCAGCACTCTTCACCTCAGTGAGCCAATAAGAAACCGCTGTGTCCTTTTCAACCCCCAGCTACCCTTACAAATCTCACATTCGTGCCGTGACCCATTCTGTCTTTTCCCACCTCCGCAACATTGCCTGCCTCCACCACTGCTTCTCATCACAGGCCACGGAGACACTGATCCACGCTTTCATCGCATCCCGGCTTGACTACGCCAACTGCCTGCTCGCTGCTCCCCCCCCCCCCACTCCCCCCACTTCTCCGACCTCCTAACCCCATATTAGCCTGTCTGCTCCTTCCGCTTAGCGGACACCAACCTGCTTCAAATTCCACGCACTTCCCGTTCCACCATTGATGGTCGGACATTCAACATCTCTGCCCCCACACTTTGGAACTCTTTCATGCAATCCCTCTGCCTCACCCCCTCTCTTGCCTCCTTCAAGTCTTTCCGATGTGAAGGGCGCTATACAAGTCTAGTTTGTTGTTGTTGCTTGAATTCCAGGAATCCCATTAGAAATTGCCACTCGTTAGAAACATTACCCTTTGGGTAAAGTGCTTGTAGTGTTTTTAACAATTCTGTTATCTTCAGGTACCAGAGATAAATCTGGTCGTGCAGTGGTGATTATAACAACAAGGAACACAATCTGGCTAAATCCACACTGCAACGTCACTGAGCTTGTGCGGCTCCTCGTGTATTTTTCCAGCATTCCCAGGTATGTCAACAGTCTGAGCTTTTCAATTAAGTAATAATTGAATTCATACAAAAAATGTTTAGAACCAGTAATGTAATAAACAGTTGAAAATTGTAGATTGTGCCATTGCAGAAAAAAATTGAAGCAATCGGATCTAGAACCATGTTTTTTGAGGTGCTCTTAAGAGTTAATCAATATATTCATCAGAGGAAGGTAGAATGCGTCTTTCACTGGGGGACGCTGAAACATTGGGTGAATGTGGCAATGGCCACCATCCAGGTGCTGCCATATCTTGAAGCAACAGGATGGTAATCAATGTAAAATAAATACAAAATACCGTATAACATGATTTAACTCATTGCTTTGTGTTTTTCGTTCTTTATAGACAAGAAATCCGTCTGGCAGGACTAACCATTTTGGTAGATGCCCGGCGCTGCTCCCCTGTACCTGCACTCTTTAAGGCTTTCAACATGCTGCAGGTGATAATTCTTTACATTTATGGAATGCAATAATGTGTGGGACACTTCAACTTTTAAAACCAAATTACCTTTGAACCTTAGGATGTTTCCACCTCCTGATACAATGGCAGTCACCGTTAGAAAGTCATCTGGCTAGTGATATGAGTGTATGTTTTCCGATGTAAGCTATTCTAATATTAGTGGTTATAATCCTTGTTGCTTTCCCATACTACACAAGTACTGTACCGAATCTTTGCTACAATAATTTAGCAAAACAGACATTTAAACAAAGAAAACAAATGACACTTGTGTACAGTTCTGTACAATTTATTGGTTTAATTGATTTCAGAATGTGACATTCCTTATACTTTCCCTTATATAAATTAAACTTCCCTATTAAAATGAGCAAAACTGTATATGTAATTATTTTGTAGAAACAAGACTAAAGTTTAGGTTGCATTTTACCTTCATTTTCTCTCGTCAGAAAAAGTTGATATCAGAAAATGGATTTTCTTTTGTTCTACACAACCAAAAATGGATTTTCTTTTGTTCTACACAACCAAAGACTTGAAACCCTCTCCTTGTTAAAGTTTCTCATGTCATGTTCTATCACAAAAATAATAGAAAGAGAAAAGGTAACTTATCTAATGTCCTGCAAAGATTCTATACATTCGGGCTGATCATGAACTGAAGCTCACTTATTCAACCACCTAAGCAAATCATCAGGTCAAATTCCAGAATACTTGGCTGTCTTACTGCTCCATCATGTAACTTAATATGTCACTAATCTACTTTAAAAAGAATACTCAAATAATTTACCAGAAGAAAGTGTTGCTTCTTAACATTTCGAATGGAAAATTCAGTTGTACCAACACCATTGAGCTACAGATTATAAAACATCATAATGTTTTTTATAACAGTGAATTTGTTCAAAACTCTTCTTTTTAAACTGCCATAAACTTGCTGACATGGCTTTTGAACTTCCATCTAATTCTTGTTGTTTTATTGTCAGCTTTCCAAATAGTAAGCTTTATAAATAAGCTTTATGCTAGTAACCTGCAGCTGCTGTTTGCACACAGCAGCCTCACTCCTCACTCCCTCTATTATTCATGCCATCTGTCTTGTTCAAGAGAATGAATCAACATGGATTAAAAAAATCGTTGTGTTCCCTTCTTCGGGAATAATTGCTTTGTGCCAATATATAAATAATCACCAGGATCTTTGTTGCATTTACACACTGTACTCCTCAATAGGGAACTGCATTACAAAAATCAATCCTTGAGTGAGCAAAAACCCAATAACTCATGAATGATAAAGTTGCAAGTGAGTGTATAGTAAGAAGCAATCTAATTGAGAAGTACAAATAATTTCATTAACCTCAACAGCAAAGTTCAAGTGGCTTGTCAATTGAACCTAAGATAAATTATTTCATTTTAATCGTTTCCTCACACAAAATATAATGTACAGAAACACGAGACATTGAGGCACCATTTCCACATCTTTTTCTTACTATTCTTTACACTATGTGCAGGAATTTTCTATACATAGTATATAAACTTGGGGAAATAAAGATTTTCCCGAGTAAGTCATCGCTCATCTTAAAATTATTAATTTTAAAAAGGATTTCAATACTTCAAAAGTCCTTTTTTTAAACAAAAAGATACAACCGTTTGAATTGGTGATGCCCATCTAAAGATGTTACTCAACAAAAAGTGACTCACTGAACTTTGCTATTGAAAAAACACTTGTTTATTAAAAAAATTTAGAAAATAAGCACCGGCTTTATTTTCCTCTTGAGTCATTAATCATCTGATTGTGGGACATCGCTCTGTGCAAATTGTTAGTTGGATTCGCCCACAAAATAGGTTAGCCGTAACCACTTTACAATAAATTCCTGTTAGCCCTTTGAGACATCTTGACAATGTTATAAGGTGCTATCTCAAACCCAAGGACGACAATGATCATTATTGTTGTTGTTATTTATTATTATTATTAGTTATAATAGTTATTATTATAATAATAATATTATTATTATCAGTTTCCTTTTTCTTTTATGCACATGCTTCTGGAACTTGAAGATGTGTTAAGGGAGAAGCCTACGAATGTTTTGGGAGTTTTATATTTCCTGCTGCATTGTAATGCCATTTAGTGTAGAATCCCTCTGATAATGTACCTGAATCCTGGAGATTAAGCCCCTATAGGAAAGGATAAGTAGCTATGTTTGCTGGGTTTTCATGCATGTATGAGTGAATAACATTCATGTGTGCTCATCAGTTAATAACATAGAAAAAGTCAAAGTATAAATATTTAAATTGCTAAATAATATCATTTAGATTTTATTTATGATTTTTTCAATAGTGTTTCTCCCATACCTAATATTTTCTGAAATACAATGTGCAAAAATGTAATCTGTTCAGATTTGCTTATAATTGTCAGCTTTGACTCTGAGATGCACGGAAGTGTAATTTATTTTATTTGTTCTATTCCCTGTCCTCATCTATTATATTTGAAGGAACGGTATAGTGTTTGTGCATAGGGAAAAATACATCTACTGCATCAATATAATTTCCACAGCAAAAATCACACGCCCAACAGAAATAGATGTGTTCAGGCTTGCTCTTGTTTGTGTTCCAGTATCTGTCAAAGCTGCTAATCCAATATATAATTGCTTTACACAGTGTCTGCCTAGGGGTATATTAGACATTAACTTGATAAATTGAGATGTGTTGGACTGTCTTCACATTGTGAGTAAGTTGGCACATTTGGCAAGTTAATAACATTAGATCTGTCAGATCAACAGGCATAACTTTTGGAAAAGAGTCTACGGTGAATATGAATCATGCCTTCATTTGCTGCTTCATCTTATTGAAATGATTGACTGACAGATCAGTGAATTTATTACCATTGTGTGAATAAGTTTATTGTGGTCAGTAGATACTGGTTATGTCTGTGCACTGCCAATTAGTCACTATGTGTTCGTTTTGGAATGTAAGCTCTCTCTGACCTGAACAGCTTTATCTTGTCTTAATTAAAATAAGACTGATTATATGGTTTGAAATTACACTGACCAAACTGTTCTTAGATATATGAACAAGATAAGTTAAAGGGTATAATAATTTCTTTCTCTTTGAACAAACCGTTTCTGATCTGAACTTCAGTAGTCAAGTTACCTGGCAAGTGTTCTTAAAAACATTGTGTGTGAAAATTATGATCTATGACGTGTTAGTAAAGCATTGATTACCCAGTCGTTGAAAGCTGTAGACTACTAATCACAAAAAGACATCCCACTCTCGCCACTTGCATGACAATCAATTTGAAATTATCCCTTGAAGTATTTAGTAGTTGTTTAAAATTTAAACATAATTTTGAAGTATATTAATTCACTTAAAAATGTGAAACATTGAATGCTTAAACCTTTGTTTGAAAGAGTGAGACTGCAGTTTAATTACACGATACATAGTGGTGTTCCTGCTATTTTTATTCCAGGGTTATTGGTTGTATTCTCTTTCTGAGCCACACAAGATAGTTTGGAGAACAATACTGTTGTGCAGAATTGGATCAAAGTACTGAATACACATTTTACCAAGCTCCAAAGTTTTAACACAGAAATGTCATTAAACTTTGCTTTTATCATCATGTCATCAGTAATGAAGAATACTTCAACTTTGTATACTATCTGATTGGCACCATATCAGTTAGCCTTGTGAAGGGATTTATTTTTCATACTATTTAACCACAGACACCATAAGATTTATCTGATCAGTGTTATTGCCTGTTTGTTGTTTACTCACCTTATCTTAAATGCCTAGGAAGACTGGCAGTTTCAGCTATGTCAAAAGGCACTTGAATCATGTCATTGGCTATCATATCTGCAGATTTTATCACAAAATGTCACCTTTTATGATGTCTTGACCTTGGTTGTGTGTATTTTAGTTTGGATTGAAGGGAAATCTGCAGTGCAAGTGCAATTATATGTCTATTTACATTTCTCCCCTACAGCTATGTTTATCTGAAAGCTGAGATCAGATTTGATCCGAATAAAGAGGTTATCTTCAAACCATCATATAATTTAAGCATTAGCTACATTTCTGTGATGTTAAGAAAGAATTCAGTTTCAATAGGTAAACCATTTGTAAATGTTAAGTAATTAGCAATTATCCAGCTTAATTTTACTTTTTTAAAAAAAGCAAAAACTATATTGAGACTCTTTTTGTGGCATTGAAACAAAAAGCTTTAAATTGAGATTTTTTTAAAGCATGAACTGTTTATTTGCATTAATGATACAAGATTCCATCGCCTAACTATTCTAAGCAGACAATTTTTACTTGGAAGGGAAAAAATAAAGCTCACAACAAATGTAAATAAAGGCTTAAATGTGAAAAAGCATAGAATGAGAAAAGGCCGTCAAACTGTTGTTTCCATAACCAAACAAAACCTTCCTTGATATTACCATCTCACCACCCACTGAATCCAGTGAAAATAGTTTTTCTAATCTCTCTTATTCCTTCAGGCTTTATCATGTTTAATCTTCGCCAGTTCCATTCTCGTGGTATAAATTAAATTGCCCATTTCCAACCACAATTTATTAATATATTGTAGAAAGTTGGTCAGCTGTTGGCTATGTAAACTACTGACTTCTAAGACAACAGCTTGTATTTATAAGGCACCTTCACCCAGGGTATCGTCTCAGTTTTCAGAATGTAATCAGCTAAGAGATTTGAGTGCAATGATCATTCTTCACATTCGTCTGCAGGACACCGTTCCTAACTGTATCCATACAGTGTTGCTGCTTGTTGAAAGGGATCTTACACTCCGATTTGAGAAACCAACGTCCATGCAGGTACTTTCTTGATCTATATAAAATGGTGTTTGTTAAGTCCATCTGGTGATACCTAGATGATTTAATATTTGCAAGTAAGATTGCTCGTAAATGTGATAACTTGACTGTAATTTAGGCACTCTTAAGGTATGAATGTGGAATCTGTCGTCAACTAGCACTTAAAACTAAGTGTGAATTTCATTGTTAGAAACACAAGGTGCCCCTGCTTGGAACCACGTACTTTCAGATAATCTGCAGGTAAATGCAAATTTATAAATGCAGGAAAACAAAGACGATGTTCTTTTTCTGAATATGGAGATTGTTTTTCTACCAGTTTGTAAATGTGGGCAATGCCATCTGGATTGAACTTGTGATGTTGTGAAATTGCCCTTATTACTTCATAGAATAGCTCTATGGTCCAATGCTCCATTCATTTTAATTTTTAATCATTTCCCCTGTGTCCCCAACCCCTTAACATTAGGACCATTTTCCCCTTCCTTACCATCTTCGTATAAAGTGTAATATACGTATTGATAAACATCACAATGTGAGGTTGTAAACCTTGAGAATCGTGTTATATAAACGAGAGTTGCTCTGCTTTTACAATGGATGGGATCATCTTCACCCCTTGATGAGATTAGTAACTCCTAGGTCTCTATTATTCTTTACTTATGAATACAGATACCACAATGACCTTTGCTTTTGCTGTGATTCTGCTCAATACAGCAGACTTTTTCTTTTCACTGTTGATAAAAGTTGGCACAAAAGCTTGGATGTTGCCGTAGAATGACCTGCATTTTCCCTCTCGCCTCTCTCTTTGTTGAATGAGGAATCAGAGTAACGGGTTACTTAAAGTCCCTGTAAAAGGTTTTACTTGAATACACATACTTACCAATTCTACTGCTGCCAGTTGCCTGTCAGCTTTAAAGTTTATTTACAGGTTTTTGTATTTTCAAAGCAACTTACATCACAAGAACGTTTATCATTTTGATTTGTTGTGTAGAAACTTAAAGCAAGACGTTATTTTAATCAGTTAAAAGACGTGTGTCGAAACAGTTGTTGATAGTTCCAAGCTGCCGGGCAATGGAAGAGTTCACTTCGGCACATTTGCTAAGTCCAGGACCAAGTTGTGAGGTGGATTTGTGATTTTTAAAAAAAAGGAAACAGCTATAGGGAAGAAGGGATTCATCTTGCAATGACCTGTTGCTCAGCACTTTGGCTTCACAATGGTTATGTCTCTGCCAAGAACCTTCACGTGAGGCCTGGATTAAGCAGTTGGTGTTGAGTAAACCTAGTACATGGCATTGGAATTGGACTCAAGAACGTCAGAGTGGCTGGCACATTATAAGCTGTCCTGTGAAGGTCTTCCATAATGCTAAAGGCAGATGTCTATTGAATGGGAAACTCTGAAGCTTGGAATGACAGCTGCTGGAGCAGCTGACTTCAGAGTTCATGAACTCACATTTGTATATCTAAGGCTTGGTATCTACCTTGAAGAGTGTTCAGAGAGGTTAACAGCTGCAGCCGAAGCTTCACACTTCCGACTGGAACCACTGTTCAATGGAGACGGATGTGTGTCCAAACTGGGCAGGAAGATAATAGTAATTAAAAAAAAGGAGTTTACATGTTATATTGAATAATGCTACTCACCAAGATGCTCACAAGGAGTTCCTGGTAACTGTTGTCCACCTAGTGAGAGCTCGAATCAGTACTCATCAAGTGACTATCCTCCCGGGGGAGAAGGGTGGAAGTAAACAGGGTCTCCTTAGGGTTGAGCTGGGGCCCACATTCCTCCACATATTAATTTTTTGAAAATATCTTGTATCATGTTTATATTGCATCCGAGTTTCCTGCAGCTGAGGAATGGAAAACCTTTACAGTGTTCTATTTTTGGATCATTTTGAAAACAGTATAAACTGGCTTCCTGCACCATATTACTATACTGCCAATTATGAGCCATCTTCGTTCCTATCAATATAAGTCAACATAACAAAAATGTCCAACAGTAAAAGCATAGGATTATTTTTAAATTTAGTGCAAAAATCTTAGTGGCATCTTTGAAGATCTATTACAAAAACGTTATTCGGGATCCTTAACCCCAATACATAATATAGTAATACTACTTTTGTGCTTAATGTACTAATTTTGTTAAAAATTAAAATCAAAAAACTATTCCTTTGAAAGAACTCCAGGTTAATATATTCCCTTTTCAATCTGTAACATAATTACTTTTTGTTGAAGCAAAGCAGATATTTTAAACCACATACATCTTTGTTTAAAAAAAGTGCTAGTGCCATTAAAACAAAAAGGTACTATAGTTCTTTCCTAAAGTCTGCCTTTCTTGTTCATGGTTTGATTGCCTAAAGGACATTGCACATATTAATCGTATGAATGTCCCATAGCTTCAGACCAAATGTTTCAGGTCTCACACTGACCCCTTTTTATTACCACATTTGATTGCAGTGAATACAACAAGAGTTTAACAAGATGCAGAAATGGGTCAGCAGTCAAGGAAACAGGCCACATACCATTTGACAATCACATTTGATAAATATAGTTTAGAAGGCTCCACTGTGCAGATTAAATAAAATGACATAGTATATTATTACCATTTATAAAATGAACACCTTATGAACCTAAACTTCATCAAATCTGGTAGTAATGCTTTTAGCACCTGCACAGTTGGTGCGGGAGAAAGACTGAGCTCAGTATCAGATAATAAAAAAAAGACTTGTGAGTTTGTTGTGCTAATTTCCATTAAATTGGCTTTAGGCTGTTAATGAAACTATATAAGCAGAGTATAAGATGTCTTCCCCCTCAAGTAACCTCTAGATTCTGTTCTGTTTGGCTTGCTTGTTATCTTTTGTTAGCTCCTGAGATGGCAATTACAATCGGGTTTGAACTGTGTTTGGATTTGAACATTTTCTTCTGCTGTTATGGATATTAAATCAGAAACATCCCTCAACCATTTTGAAAACATTGGATTATCAGTCTTGCACTGTTACTTTTCTGATGTTAAAATACCCTGATTTTTGTGGGACTTTAATATGATTTTTATTATCTTTGCACAGTTTGAACTTCTTTCATCTCTGAAATCTCTGCACAAACACATAGAAAGCAATCAGCTTCCACCGGAATTTGATGGAACCTTCTCATACTGTCACAATGACTGGGTTTGCTTTCGTATGGTGAGTGACAATTCAATTGTATCCTATTTTTGCACCTTCGACCCTTGACAGTTGGATCTGTCCAAAAAATTACGAGGTCATAACATGCTAACGGCATGTAATGAAATTAAGCAAAAGTTAAAGGAAGCCATTTGACTGCCATTTGTTCCTAAAGTGTTTATGACACTGTTTAGTTCAGCTACTTAAGCAGTTTGTGTAACCTTAATTTATGACAGCCTCTAGATGTAATCGAATTGTCAGTCATAATTTTCAATAAAGGGGTTTAGAACATGAATCTATTCAAGCAGTATTGTGTAGAAATGTGAACAATTTGTTAGTGTTTAAATGTCTGAGATTGGAACATTGAGAGAATTGTTCAATACTGGCAGCCAACGAGTTTCAGGAGGATTTCTGTACCTTGCATCAGTGGAATGTATTTCCTTCTGATCTGCTTCTCTTTGTCTGGCCAGGACACAGAATGGGAATCCCCAAAAACAAAGCCATTTAGAGGTTATTTGTTATTGTAGATAGGTCAAGGCTTTTGGTGGGGCACTTTGGGATGAATGCTTTAATTTGAAAATACTTTTCTTTCCCTGTCCCCTTATTACCTCTGTTCAAAAAGCATTCTTTGTAAAGAATGTACTCTATTTCCAAGCCAAACTTCCACTGAGCAGTTATACTAATTCCAGAATTAGAGAATAGTAAAGATAGAAGCAAGATAGCAAATTTTGGAAATTTGTCTGACCATCTTGTGATTTTGCTATTATTTTGCATGCTGTCTAGTATTTTGAATTGCACATAAAATGATTGTTTTTTCCCAATCAGTATTCAAGTTGAGGTAATGAGTATCTTTTGTATTCAATTCTTTCTACAGAAACTGGAGCAGCTTATGCAGGGTTGTATAGCAGCAAAAGGTTTCCTCCAGAGCACCATAGAGAACTTGGAATCCAGTCAATTGCCTAACACAGCTGAGGTAATCTTCGCAAATAGATCCAGGAAGCATATTAAATTGGACACTACATTCATGATTCAAAGGGATTTTGAAACCTGTTTAACATTTACAATAATATGTTGTTTGCGTAAAATAGCTTCCACTACATAGATAGTTGCAGCCTTTAAATCATAAACTGTTTTTTTATCTGTAATCAAATTGCTTATATTTCTACAAGTAATGTGCTTCTTCTTTCCCCAGACAACATTCTCCCTCCTCCCCTTCCAGGCTGTAGTCCATAGACTATTCGTTAAGTTCACTGCTTTTATCCCTATATCCTCTAATACTGTTCTGAAGCATCATTTTTGAGAACAAGTATTTTACACATCACTACTTTTGTTATTAGCATTTTATATTTAATTTGCAGGAAAATGTTCAGATGTAATGTTATCTCTGCCCCCACACTCTGGAATTCTATTCCGCAATCCCTTCGCCTCAACCCCTCTCTTGCCTCCATCAAATCCTGTCTAAAGATCTTCATCTTCGACCATGCCTTCGACCATCCCCCACCCTCCCTGCCCTCCACCCCTCCTGACCCCATCTCCCAGCTCAGGTCCAAAAACCCTTGACTGTCCATCGCCCTGGGATATCTTTCAGACGTGAAGGGTGCTATACAAGTGTAATTTGTTGTTAAATTAGCAATAATCCTGCATTTGGTATTGCCTTTCATTTTCAAGGACATAGAACAACTCATACCGTTTCAGAGACAAAATGACTCCTTTGGTTTATGGCATCATTCACTCAAAGCAGTGGCAGTTGCTGTTGTTTTTAGCACAGCCAAATTGCCATGTGATAACTTTAAACTGTGGTCTGCATTACTTCATGCAGCACTTGGTTACAATCATACCGTTCGAGCAAATAGAATGGAACCTGAGTTGACCAAATTTCAGGGTGTGAAAAATAACTTGGCCCATTTGCTTGACAGAATAGGCCACCCAGAATAGTGTCTGCAGATTCTCCCTGACATTGAAGAGGGCTAAGCTTATAGCCATCAAGTCATTGTAGATTGATTGCTTTCTCACTGAGCAGCATGGATAAACGCCACTGTCTCCGGAATGAAGCTATAGAAATAGGAAGTAATACAGAGAGTACTAAGGAACAGAAGTATAACTTCTGTTGATGATCAAAACAGTTAATTGCAGAAACAAAAGGAATTGAGTGGCACGACACACACAACAACAAAACAAAACAACAAAACTGTGAGGTTTACTGTAGTAAGCAAGTACTGTAGAAAACCTCATGAACCCTGCTGCAATCAGAACATCTCAATATTAAGGTCACTTTACATAAGTCTGTCTTTTCTCAGTTAAAACTGATGGTGACCAAAATCTCAAAGTCACTATTGAGGACACCTCTTTGATCAGGTAAAATAGGTCGGTCTAGTGTCTGACTTTAATAGTGAGTTTCTTTCAATGTGAGAAAGACGATCAAAAATATAATCATAGTAAAGGGAGGTTGAGAGAAGTAAAATTGAGACTCTTGAAGATAAAGAAAGAACAGAAGTGAAAATGATGGAGTGGATAAGAAAGGATAACAGCCCTAATTTCTATCCTTAAATTACTCTTCATATCATGAATGTATTTTAATAGGGGTCAATTGGAGGATCTTATACATGGTTCCAGTATAACTGCAGCTGGAATTGCTAATTTCTAGGCCAGTCATTTTAGATATCTGTGACTTTGTTCAATTGTTCTTCATTTTTCAGACTAGAGTTCTCTATTTGACTCTCTTTGTGATTAAACAACTGCTATTCTTAAACTGTTCTCTCCATTTCTCACTGATGATATACTCAACAAAACTTACCATTACTGTTCTGGAGCTGCCAACCCCAGAAAAGCACTGTACTAGCAAGTATGCAGTGCTGGAGGTTGTCAGAATTACCGTCCTTTGGATGAGGCATTAAACCTAGGTCTCATCAGCCTGCTAAGATCCCTTAGCACTATTCAAGAAGAGAGTTTCCCCCAGTGTCCTGACTTGCAAATCCCCCAAATTCACTTCACTGCTGTTTGTGGGACATTGAGCAAAATTGTCTGCCACATTTTGCCTACAAAACACACAGTCCAAAAATCACTTTACTGCATACCTTGTGAAGCACTTTGAGACATCTCAGCGTTGTGATAAGATGCTATATCAAATGCAAAGATTATTATTAATGTTGTTCAGTAATAATAGGACGCATGTTTGAATTTGATACGTTTGTAAAACATATTCATCACAAAGACAATCTCCTTTGTGACTTTACTGTCTGTTGCTATTTTCATTGTCTTGTCAGAGAAAAATGTCATTGCAGTTTGACATTGAAAATCTGTCCCATCGTACTGAAAGGACATGCTCTTCCTAAGCATAGTTCATTACTTCTCTGACCTTTTCAGTGTCACTGGATTTCCTGCCAATGGTAGATGGTAACTACAGTTTAGAAGTCATGCCTTTAGGTTATTTGTGATAACTGTTATAAATGGGTTCCACAGATGTCTTGTCAAATGAATCAAAGTTCTTGGAAAAACGATAATTTGCACATGCTATCAGAGTGGATAAATGCCGTTTGATTGCAGAGCAAAGGAAATTAGTTGGATAACGAGTTATTGACGTAAGGGTATAAGGAGTATATGGTCTACATTTTTATTCAAATATGATTACAGCTGAGATGAAAGCAGGGGACTGATAAATTGTTTCTGCAACATTTGCCTTAGGCATCTTTTGAAATTCGTTTGCATGTCCCCTGCTGCCTTGATGAAATGACCTTTCAAACATCAGTCAAAGATGGGAACATTTTAGCTCAAAGATAAAGGGTGTAGCGTCAAAGATGCATAATATTACATGACATGTAATGTTCTAATTATTGTAATTATGACATCTTCCATTTCAGTAAATATGTTATGACTGATCAGACAGTCACTTCCTATAGTAACAGCTAATAACCGGTCTTAAGCTATATACCTTATTAAAACACATGAACTCAGTTTGGAATTCTACATTTTTGGAATTTTAATGCTCAAAGTGTACCTAAATTCACACTTAATCTTAATTGCCTATGCTAGTTTTAACTGATTAAATTGTAGATATTTTATTTTGGAAATTTGGGTGACTCTGCATTTATGTTAATTTCTGGATATACTCAAAAGCAGATATGACATTAATATTGAGCAATAATCTGTACATTAATTTAAACCATGTTGAATGTATTGTACACTTATTAACTGAACAAAATGCGTTACACTTTTGTTGTTAGGAAGCCGATATTCTGTTGGAGAAATATAGAGGCCTAATGAGGAATGTTTTGGAAGATGTTCGATTGGTTAGACTACAGCTTGAAGGAGGAGCTATCCTAGCCAGATTGAAAAAAGAAGAATCTTGTGTCACTGGAACAGGAATCTTTAGGTGAGTGTACTGACAGATTCTATCAGGTAATCTCACAATTTACCAGTTACACGTTTTTAAATTAACAAAGTATAGCGGAGCCCTGTGATAACATGGTAGTCGTTGCCCTTAAAATTCCAACCATAATTTGCGTTATCAGTGGTCAGCGCTTCTCAAGTCTGCAGAAAGACAAAGCAGCAACCAGCAGGTAAACGTATTGGAGTTAATGATGCATGCAGAGGCCAAGGTTTCTGAGGAACAACAACAACAAAATTACATTTGCATAGCGCCTTTCACTTTGGGAGGACATCCCAAGGCGCTGGACAATGTTTCAGACCCAATCAGGAAGGTTGGAGGACGGGGGGGGAGAAGCAGGGTGACGAAAGGCACGGTCGAAGAGGAGGGTCTTGAGACAGGTTTTGAAGGAAGCAAGCGAGGGCGTGAGGCGGAGGGACTGCGGGATGGAGTTCCAGAGAATTCCACCATCGGAGGTTGCGTTTCAGCCACTACACCCCAATACTCTGGAACAATCTTCATCAATCCCTCCGCCTTGCCGCCTCTTCCCTTTTTCAAGTCCTGCCTGAAAACCGTCCTCTTCGACCATACATACAGCCACCACCACAACCCTCCTCCCCCCCACCCTTATATAGGGCACTATATAAGTGCAAGTTGTTGTTGTGGGGGCAGAGTGGCTGAAGCCCTGCCCGGCAATGGTGGGGCAGGCGAGGAAGGGGACGTGAAGCAGGCCGGAGCCCGCTGAGCAGAGAGAGCGGGCAAGGTGATTGGAGATGAGGAGGTTGCAGAGTGTAGGGGTGAGCAAGGCCATGGAGGACTTTGAAAGTGATTTTGGAAACTGTATCCTCTGTGTGATGGGAAGCCAGTGGAGTCGGGCAAGTCGGGCAGGATCATGGAGCCTGGTACGGGAGAGGACACGGGCTGCAGAGTTCTGGATGATCTGCAGCCTATGGAGGGAGGAGTTTGGGAGGCTAACAAGCAGGGAGTTTGCGTAGTCGAGTCTGGATTTTATGAAAGCGTGTATTGAGGGTTTCGGCGGCCTGCGGTGTGAGACAGTGCCAAAGCCAGTGATGTTGCGGAGGTGGGGGAAGACAGAGCGTGTCATGGCACGGATGTGAGATAAAAAGGACAGTTGCGGATCAAACGAGACGTCAAGGTCCCAGAATGGCTCGGGGAGGTGGAGGGTACATCCTTGGATTGTGATGCTGGCAGTGCCTGAGGAGTAGATGCGCTGATGGGAGCCAATCAGGAGCGCCTCAGTCTTATTGACGTTTAGCTGTAAAAAGTTAGCCAGAGCATAGTGAGAGCCCATCAGTAAAAGCTAACTATTTCATAGAATCATAGAATTTTAAAGCACAGAAGGAGGTCATTCGGTACATTGTACACTTAGAAATTCTACACATAACAACAAACCTTTACTCAGAGGCCACCCTTACATAAAGGGCACTTTGGCCCAGTCCCGAATGTTTGCTGAAAACAGCTTTGACTGTAGTTGTTTTCAGTGTCTTGTTTTTATTTGAGGCAGTTCAAAATATTCGTCGGAAGTCGCAAAGAATTAAATTGCTGGTCGGTTTTGCACGACATCGTTTGCCATTATCTGGAAGCTTGAAACAAACCAGTGAAAGTGAAGCATCGTGGTAGGCATGATCATTTGTAAGACCTGGAAATGATTTTGCAGAGACCAGTGTGTTTTTGCCTGCTTCGTGGTTTTTCTTGCCTCACCTTCAGTCTAAGGAACTGATTAAAAATAGTTTACTGAATGGCTCCTTTTTTAATGTTTCTGTTTTAGGACTTTATATTCAGGATTCCATTTGTTTTAATATAAAAACAAATAAAAATGTCTCCGAACTCCAGTTAACCTTGGATGTGTTTTTTATCCCCTTTCCCTGCCTAGTCAATATGTTTTTAGACCTAGTTTTTAGTTGGCTTGATTTTTTTTTGATTGATTCTTGTTTTCTTAGTTTTTGCTTAGTTTCCTCATGGGCAGACAGCGATAATGGTGGTTCAGTGTAAACTTACACTTTATTCACTGATTAAATGGAATCATTGTACTATGTTGGTGGTGAGGTAATGGGTTCAGAATTAGTGGGTCATGTTTCATTACTTAGTCACACAGAACCCTTTGTACATTGCAATTACTATCACATCCCAGTTAGTTAAATCAGTAACTAGAAAATGCTCTATCTTGTTTTGTTGCCTTTTATGTTCATTCAACTGGTAGAATGGGGTGGTCTGGGTCACTGATTTCTGCAGTCTTCCTCAGCACTGCTTCAGTTTGTTACTAGGGTTTGTATGGCAAAGCAGGACAGGTCTCCCAATGAATTGTCCTTCTCCTGAGATGACTCATTCCCTCTCCTTGTGATTTGTTCTTCTCTGGAGGGTGACACACTCCATCTACCAGCCTTGCCAACAGCTATTGAACTCACCTACAAATTAGGCTGAAATTGAATCCCTCAGTTTCTGAATAGGAATTCAATCATTTACCGCAAATGTGCTTTTTAATTGTAGAGTTATCCTACAGATGTGATGTTGAACCAGTATCCGAAGTAAAATGATAGGTGCCAACAACATGGGTTTTTATGCTAGTGTCATGTCAAGATCTTGTCTAAGAAAATTTAAGCTAAGTGCATAAACAGGTGCCAGTTGGCTAATTGATGCTGGTTACTTTATAATAGTGTAGAGGCTTGACTCAGTTGGTAACATTCTTGATTTTTTAGTTAAAAGGTTCAGGGTTCAAACCCCCCTTCCCCTCCCCTCCCTTACCTCCCGAACCCCAGCTCGGGTCTGAAATGTTGTACTCTGCCCAGTGCCTTGGGACATCCTCCTGATTCAAAGGCACTATACAAATATAATCTTGTTGTTGTTTAAGATCACAGTCTGGGCTGACACTCCAATTCAGTACTTGGCTTGTGCTGCATTGTTGGAGGTGCCATCCTTCGGATGAGACATTAAACTGAGGTCCCGCTTTTCTATTCAGGTGGATGTTAAAGATCCCTTGGCATTATTTGAAAAGAGAAGAGAGTTTTAACTGACTACCTATTTGAACCCAAATACGTTCCTAAAGTTGGCAGTTAAATTGCAGAGTATGTGTTGGTTTGACATCAAAAGCTTATTAAAAGCACATCAACTCTAAAGTATTACTCTTACTACAGCAGTCACTTCACTAAATATGTGGCCAGTTACATTTAAAGGATATTGAAAATGGGGATTTAAATTTCAGCTTGTCCATTGTGGATTTTAATCCATTTGCTTCCATTTTTGTGAATAGACTGGAGCCACCGTTATAATATTTCGGACTAATAAATTACAACCATCTTAGTTCAGTGAAATACTACATTCCAGGACAGTGAATTCCTCATTCGTCACTAAAAGCTCAAAGGGATTCTGTTACCAGTGTATGTATTAACTTCAAAAATGTTGTGCTTCTTTGATTGTAGGAGCTATATATGATGATTATGAAAAAATATATTTTTTAATCATATGTTTATCTGAGCCCCTATTTTAACAGATTGTAAATGGTTATATTCAGTCAATTCATTTGTGTCATTTAATCTTTCTTTTTGAACTTTAGAAAAATTCTATCAGTTTTAAATTCTATCACCATGATGGTTCTACATTAATCCCTAATTCTGGACGTTTGTGCTTTTAACCATTATACAATGGCAGCTGATCAGATTACAAATCTGTCACTAAAACCTCAATAACTCCATTGTTTTTCAGTGCTCTCTCGTTTGATGATTTAGTGCCACTTTTTATTCCAAACAGGAAGCCACATTAAAATCTGTAGTAACCTGTCGCACACAGGCGCCATTAGTTAATATTTGGAAGAATCTGAGCACTTAGGCTACAAAGACAGTAAATTGTTCATAAAATAATAGATTACTCATAAGAGTCGATTCATGTGATAAATTAATTTAACCTAAAGCAGCTAGCTAGAAAATGCTTGCAGATAGACTTGAAAGACAAAGAGTCGCACTTGATATGAAAAACTTTTGTAAGAGCCCAAGGAGTCGACCTTAACTTCTATCAAAAATGTTGATATTTAAAGACTGCAAATCCACTTCTTTATGCGTATGTTAAAATGTGTGACCTCTGAGAATTGCACATTTTTCCATTTTGTGTACACTGAAATCTAGCACTCCAAAGAGCATCTAAGTGTAAGTTGTTGATGTCAGGTTAGGTCCATGTCATTTTGCTTACCTCTCCACTGACACTCATTTCACACCGTAACTGGTTGATGCTGCAATTTGCCTATCACTGTGTGCAATGAGGCTAGTTTAGTCTCATACCAACTGCTATACAAGACAACTCGAGGTGAAACTAATCACAGGCATGTGATGGGATTCCAAACAGGTTCCTGGAGAGCTGTAAAAAGGAAGGGAAAAAATAAACAAGACGTGTTTTTAGTACTAATTGGATTCAAGTCAGATGACAAAGCAGCCATTGGCTGACTTTGAATACTTTTTTGCAATTTCATCTGCCAATGAATAATGTATTTTTTAGTAAATGTATGATTGTTTTGATTACCAAATAGTGATATTTCTATTAAGTAACACGACTGCTAAATTATTTTATGGCAGTAATCCTACACAGCTAATTTCCAGAACAAGCCAGGATTTTACACTTATGATTTCGCTTCATTGCAGTTTTGTTGTAAAATATTAGTTTTATTTAAAATAACAATCCTTGCATTTGACATAAAATCTTACCATATCTTCGACTTCAAGATCCTTACCCTTGTCTTTAAATCCCTCCATTCCTCTACACCCCCCCTACCTCTCTGACCTCCTCCCTCCTCACAACAGCACCCGTTGCCTTCTCTCCACCGGGTCTGGCCTCCTCCTTGTCCACCGAATCCTCCACTCCACAATTGGCGGCCATACCTTCAGCCACTACGCCCTGAGGCTCTGGAACTCCCTTCCTCCCTTCGCCTCCCCCCTTCTCTTCCTACTTTCAGGTCTCTGCTGAAGACCTTTCTTTTTGATTTCACCTTTGATCACCTTTCTCCCCCTCCCCCTGGCTCGGCCCCGGGACCCGTCACTGTGAAGCGCTCTGAGATGTCGTCCGGCCTGGAGGGCGCTATATAAATCCAAGTTGTTGTTGATATGTCTCAAAGTGTTTCACAGAATTTGCTCTAGAATGTAATGACTGTATTTTCTGGACAAACACGGCAGCCAATTTGCACATAGTAATATCCCAAAAGCCATAAAGTGAAAAATCTATTTCATCTGAGGGATTGTTGGCCACGACATCGGGAGAAACTTATTTCTCTTTTTGAAGTATTTGAAGAAGGCACTGTCTTCTGTTGGCCAACATGTTACCTTAATGATCTGAGTTTAGACAGCAAAGTGGATGAGTTTAGATTTGCCTGGCTTAGTTATGAGCTATAATTTTCTATAATTATGTGAAGTGCAGGGTTATTTTTTGTTTTTTCCAAAGTGGTGATTGGTTTCCAATGCCATTTGACTGATTTGATTTTTCACGAGACATGCTCACAAACATTTCCTGTAAATGATCTTCCAAGGCAAACATCAAGGCAAACTGAGAAGCCATTGTGAGCTGCGACATGGCTGTGATGGCAGCTGTTGGACTTTCTTTAATCTATATGGTCTGAGAAGTGGTTTCACAGCAGAAATATGACCATGGCCCAGATGTCTGGAGTAGTATCTGTGGAGAAGGAAATGATACCAGCAGCTGTTTAGGTCAGATTGTAAAGGGTAAACTGCCAGTCAATTGAAAGATATGTTCAAAAAAGATATTAAAAAGCGAGGTGTACAATTATAAAACCACATTACTAGATTTCACTGCAGTGTGATGGAGTGTTCTTTTGAATTTATTATGTTTCCTCTTTCTTAGGTTATGGTTGTTGGTGTATCCAGGGTTCTGTCTTTGTTGTTAACCTTCGTGAGGCTTTCCAGGCAGGTTGCCACAATCGAGCACTTGAATCCCAGTTGAATTGAAAGTTTTGCATGTGACTCATACACTGGAGACTGTGCAGTTCATGAGGCACTAAGCTGTGCAAAGCTGAGCATGAAGGAAAGGACAGTCAGTTCATTGTGTAGGTGGACTGTTTTTAACTGTGTCAAGGAGCAAACTGGCAGAATATATGGTTGTCAATTAATAAAGTTAAAATAATTCAGGATTATATGGCTCAAATAATGATATTTTAGATTTTTTTTAAAAAACGTTATCGGAAATAATTTCAGGTTTGTTTTCCTATGGAATGCAGCAACAAACAGAATATAGTAGTATTTTTGAAGATAATTTGAAGTTGCATGAAAATATTAGAGAAAAATGTTTCCGTTCAATGATATCTACTTAATTGAGCATGAGGCCCCAAACATATTGTGTTGTGTTTGTATCATTTCATCACTTTTATTCATGAGTCTCTATCTGGAAATATAGATCCCCAAATTTTAAGTATATTATCCTTTCCATGTACTTTTTGGTTTAAAGAGCTATTTAAAGCTTTAGACTTTAAAGTCACATAATTAACTTACTACTCATCCTAAATAGTATTTAATTTTTTTAAAAAACGAAGCATTGTGGGAAAAAGCTTCAGGCTCAGAACCGAGCATGCAACCAACTCAGCCAAACTGAAACGCACCTAATAAAAGGCAGCCTCATGTTGGGTCCATCTCATGTTAGTTGATTGGCGTATCCCTTCCCAAGGGTAATAATCCTTCCAAAAAAAAGTAGTATTTTGGTCGCTCAATCCATGACTGTTTGTGGAACACTGGTGTGCGTAATTGGTCGTCTTGATTCGCCCACAAAATATACAGTCAATTCACTTTACAGTATATCCTGTGAAGTGCTTTGAGACATCTTGAAGACGTGATAAGGCGCTATATCAAATGCAGGGATTATTATTATTGTTTCATTTCCTGTGGTGTTGGTGAGGTTACAAAAAAATGGTCGATGTCCAGGTGGTCAAGTCGGTGATGCACATGCATGAGAAATACCACCGACATCGCCTTTGTGAAGGGATGTCAGTGGTGCTTTCTTTGTATACTTTTGTACGCTGTGTAGGTACACTGACATTACCAGCGTTTCTTGTGCATAACTCACGTGGTCCATGTCCATGAAAAGTCAACGGCATTCTCGCAATCTGGAGGTTGCAATACCGCATACACATTTACCGGCTGCATTGAATCACGCTTGCACAATGTAGATTATCGATTAAATCAGATTTTACATGACTAATACAAGTTTGGCTATAACTTAGACTGTGGGTCATATTAAATGTGGTCCGGACTGATATGACTCACGTGAGTTTTACTGTATAAGCAAGGCAGCTTTATCATGATGTTCTCTACAAATACAATATTTTGTTGGTACTTTAAGAAGTATAGCAGAATCAAAGATTTAAGATGTAACAACAGATTGTTATGCTTAGAATTCAACAGCAACAACAGCTACTTGCATTTATATAGCGCCCTTCACGTCTTGGCATGCCTAATAGAGGTGTAGCTTGCCGTTGAGCAGGGAGGGGAGGTGACTGAAGGCATGGTTGAAAAGGAAGGTCTTCACCTGTGATTTGAAGATGGGGAAAGAGGGGACAAGACAGGGATTGAGACAAGGAGTTCAAGACACTCGGGGCATAGTGGCTGGAAACACGGCCGCCAATTGTGTAGCGGAGGGAACAAGGGATGTGCAGAGGGCTTGAGCCAGCTGAGCGAAGTGTGGTGTGATCAGATTGGAGAGGTAAGGAAGTTCCAGGGTGTAAAGAGATTTTAAAGTTAGAGTGAAGATCTTGAAATAATTTGATCTGCAACAGTGGATTGTGGAGCCTGGCAAGGATTGGAGTGATGGGGGTCCAGAGCCTGGTTTTTAATTTTGCACGAAAACTGCTTCAGGTCAATTGAAGGATTTCACAATTCATTTTACTTTATTTGATTATGAAGTTTCTGAGCGGTGAAATTAACTAGAGTTGCTAAAGGCCATGTATAATTTTAACACATCATTCAGTAAAACTAGGTACATTGAAAGTATTATTTATCTCTGCTGCCCTCTAGCAGTGTATCTTCAGCATGGCTTTTTACTTTTTAGAACTTTCAGTAGTTACTAATTTGTTTTCATTCATTGTCCTGTTTTTTGTATTTATTATTCTATCTGCCAGGATCACAGACATGAAAGCCAATTCGTAAATTACTTTTTAAGTTTAGTTTTTTTTAACTATGATTTTGATTAAATTAAGTATATTAACTTGGGCACTAGTATTGCATAATAGTGCAGGCATTGACTGCTGTATGTATCGTGTTTCTACTGCCGCTGGATTTAAGAGACCTGTTAGTCTTAAAACTAAATTTAAAAATTCACGCTTAATATTATTAAAAATTTTAAAAATAATAATAGATGTTCGACACTGCTTAGCTGATCTCTGCACTTATGGTTATGTGTTTGTGCACAGAGCTTTCTGAGTTACCCCCAGCCATGTGATTTTAGCATAAGATATGAATCTTGCTACTCATTCCAAATTGCTTTGATGCTAGAAGTGATGATAAATTACTCTAATATAAATCCAGGATTGAATGATCCTTTCAATTGAAAACAAATTGGATTATACTGCAATAAAAATACAACGGGAGGGAGTGGGTTCAGCAGTGAACTTCCTGAAACACCAAAACATGTTTATTGATAATGATGAAAACTATTATTCTTTTGTTTAAATGTAAGCTTTTATTTATCTTAATGAAACAATTGTATAGATTTTAAGATGGATGTTTTTTCTTGTTTTCTTGCAGAGATTCAATGAAGACTGTGACAGCCTTGTATGACCAAGTGGATGAGGGAATTCACCGTCTGGTGATGCTTTCGAATAAGTGTATTCAGGAACTTGAGTTTCTGAAACAGTTCAAAACATTTGAAGGAGAGTTTGAGGAGGTAAAAAAAAATTGGAAATAGCCTGAACTCAGCATCAAGTGATCTACAACAATGCGATAAGCACACACAAATACTAATACAGTACCATTCTGCTCTTCCCCAAAACACTAATAGGGTGCTAATTTGTGGAGCGTTGTAGCTCAGTGGTTAGAGCACTCACCTCGCAAGCAAGAGACCTGGGTTCGATTCCTGGCAGGACAAAACCTGGGCAAGTTTCCTTACTCCACATGCCTAATAATAATCCCTCAACAAAAAAAACAATAATAAATGGGTCACTTCAATCCACGACTATTTGTGGGACACTGCTATGCACAATTGGCTGCTGCGTTTTGCCCACAAATATACAATTCACTGTAAGCCGACTAGAAGACGTGATAAGGCGCTATATCAAATACAAGGATTATTATTATTTCATCATTTCTTTTAAACTGGAATAGTTGGATGCTCCTTCAATATAAACAGTGGATTATTAATGTAGCACTAGTTTAATAGACAGTTACAGGTGTTTTCATACAGCATTTGGATTAATGAAACCCATAATCTAACTGCAAGAGCTGCCCCACACAGATCCAGACTGGGTTATGATTAGTCATCATAATGTGGAGAGTCAGGTAAACAATACATTATCTGGCATCATTGATGTGACTTGAAGGTGTAGACATGTCTGCAACCCCGCAAGCAATGCCATAATGGATAGAGAAGCCGGAACTAAAAAAGAATCATGAAAGAAATGTAGCAGTATTTAATGTTATAATTGTGAGTTGGATTTGGCCCTTCAGGTGAAGTCACAAAGATCACTTGGCCAAAATGATACATTTAACCTTGAAGGGCAAAAATATCAGGGGCTAAGTAAATTTATAGAAAATTCCAGTCCCAACTTACCATCAACAATGGTCACAGTACTAATTCTTTTGTCAGAAAGTGTATTTTTTTAAGTATTCGGCTTGCTGAAATATGTACTTGTTTTATACTTAAAGAGAAAAAAAATGTGACCTTATTATCTGTACCACATTACCCATTCTCCACAGTGATCAAAAATAAGCTTCAATTATTGGGTTATGACTACTTTGGGGGATAAAGGGCTCAATATCAGTTAAGACCTTTTCTGCTAAGCTTCTCCCTATTTCCATTTGCTAAACATAGCACGAGTACGTTGCTATTGTGTACAAAATACTACAGCGAATTTGTGTAATTGAGCATTTAGAACCATAGGATGAGATTTGTATATGTTTTTGTTACCTATATTTGCATTATACAAATGATCACCTAGAGTGCAACTAGTGAGTTGAAAAATTTGTTTATTTGCATGCATACAGGTGTGTTACATATACAGCTGGTGCTGCAATTTTGTTTAATATCCTCCTTTCAGGTGAGCAGATGGATTGAGCAGGTTGGAGAGAAGCAACTTGAAAGAGGAAGAGAATTGGAGGATTCCCTGGATTCCTTGCAAAACACACAGGAAGAATTCAAGGGCTTTTACAATGAGGCGTGTGTACGTATAAATTATATTTGTTGGCCAGTTTCTATTAGATTATCATTTAAAAATAGGCCTATTTTAAAGTTGTGTCTGATTTCATTATTGGGTCATTTTATTCTTATGTCTGTGAATTCATGCAGTTTAATGTAGGTTAAGCTTTCATTGAGGACTGTAAAACCTGTTTTCTTGGGCTTTTGACAATGAGCAGACAGATTCTTATGGGTGGATATATTTGGAGCCTAAAGGGTAGGGAAGCAGTGGACCTTTGGAACAGAGGTCAGTGACAAAGCTTCCAGTTTGACATGTGAACATATGAATTTCAAAGCTTTGGTTCTTAAAAGCTTTGTTGTAATTGCTACCACGGCAATGATTTAGAAATGCCATATGTTAAGTGTTTTAGTATTTCAGATTCTCAAATGTTTCCCAGATTGTACAATTTAATTTAATTAAAAAATAGTACAGTTTTAAAGTTTCTTACAATTTCTAAGAAGCTTGCATTTGTTATTAAACCAAATAAATATTTGATTATAAATTTATATGTAATCATCAATTGATTTAAATGTCCTGAATGTTGCTTTATTATTAATCATAATAATCATCGTTGCATTTGATGAAGCGCCTTATCACATCATTGAGATGTCTAAACGCACTTCACAAGATATACTGTAAAGTGGATTGACTATTGTATGGGTGAAACTTGGCAACCAGTTGCACACAGCAGTGTCCCACAAACAGCCATAGAGTGAGTGACCAATGTTATTTGGGGAACTGCGGGCACTGGGACAAACTCCCTTCTTCTTTCCAATAGCGCCATGGAATCCTTAAACGTCTACCTGAACAGGCAGATGGGACCTCAGTTTAATCTTTCATTCGATGGACGGATTTGCTTTGAATAGGATTTTTTTTAAAAAAAGAATTCTTAGGTCATTGACACCTGTATTTTGTCATATTCCATTTTCAGGAACTAGCCATTTCTAAATAATTGATTACCTGAGATTCTCATCAGCTTTATGGAATTTTGTGCTCCATGTTGTAACATTGTGGTCTTACATTGTAATGTTTAAATATACTTATATTTATATACAACAGCATTTTAGGTTTACAGATTTTTAAATGGGATTGAGAATATAACCACCAAAAAATAATTGGAATAATTGCTCCTTGAGGGAGCTATCTCCGCTCCGCTGAATGCACCTGGCACAAATCCAATCTAAAGGTCCAATGCCAAATTTGGCTGGACCATATCAAAGCCTACCACTCCACCCACGCTTCAGCTAAATTATCTTTCTACATCAAGATTGTCCTGGAAGCCAAAGATAATCTCAGGTTCCTCTTCTTGACCACATACCAGCTCCTCCGCTCAGCTTCCCATGCTTTTGACCCTGTCTCCCCCTCTTACTCTCACCTCCATCAATTCCCAAATTAAACCCACCACCTGCTTTCTTGACCCCATCTCTATCCCCTAGCGGCTTCTTCTCCAGCCCTCTCACTGTCGTGGCTCCTCGGGGCTCTATCCTTGGTCCTCTCCTCTTTAATATTGACATGCTCCAGCTTGGTGATATCATCCGCAGGCATGGGGTTAATTTCCACATGTACATGGATGACACCCAACTCTATTTTTCTGCCTCCACCCTCGACTCCAGGACCACTGCCGTCCTGACGGATTGTCTTATCAGACATTGAGTCCTGGATAAGAGCCAACTTTCTCCAGTTGAATGTTGACAAGACAGAGGCTCTCCTGCTTAGCCTCCTCACCTCAGATGCTGACAGCATCACTATTTATGGATGCACTCTCCACCTCAACGAGCTAGTACAGAACCGTTCGGTGAGGACTGGCCTTCTCCAAGTCCCCTACCTTGTCCACCCTACCATCGTCCTTCAGCTTTTCAGCCCCCATTTCTTGAACTCCTTTCCGGAGTCCCTTCACCTCACCCCCTCCCTTGCCTTCTTCAAGGCTCGTCTCAAGACCTTCCTCTTTGATGGTGCCTTTGATCCTCCCTTCCCTTGCTTTCCACCCCTTTTGATTCCAAACCTCAGCTCGGGTGCAAACTCTTGACTGTCCAGCACCTTGGGACGTCTTCCCAATGTGAAGGGCGCTTTATAAGTGCAATGTGTTGTGAAAATCAACAGTGTGGTTTCTCATTTGTTGCCTTGCATATTCCCTTCCTCAGCCATCGGAAAAGTGTGACCGTCAAAAACAAGGTCACAAACTACGACTTAAAAATAGTTGCACGTTTGTGGTTGTTTTTCTGTTATTCTGGTTGCTATGCAAGGACATTCCAAAGCACTAAGACTCACAGGAATTGCTGCAGGACCTCTTCTTGAAGCAGTTGTATAATATACCACATTGATACAATTCCTGTATAGTGTGTAAAAATTGTTTGTAAAAGGAACTCCAGTTTTAGTTATCAGCACATAATAAACTCACTGTCAGGATAATGTAGGCAGAGCTCTGTCTAGCTGCTGGCCCCATCATAAACCAGATATTTGAGCTGTGCTGGATATTTAGCCACCTCAGATGTAAATTTATTTGTAAGGCAAATGGGATTCAATGTTTATACTAACTCAAACAATTTTTAGTTAAAAGACACTTAAAAATAATCCAGGGAATGGATTTAACAGCAGACCTATTAAATTTATGTTTGGTACTGCACAGACATATAATTGGTACAATATTGTTTCTTATTTCTCTTCCCCTTTGCCTCTTCCCTTCCTCTTCCATCACCCTTCTCAGGACCACAAAGTGGGCATCTCTGCTGCTGCTGTCATTTCTTGTTTTGCGTCTCAAGAGATGTGTTTGACTAAAGTGCTGGCTATCAGTTTTAAACGGCTTGAGCAGTAATTTACAGCAGAATATCTTGACAGTCCAGCTTGAATATCATATTAATTCAAATAACTATAAATTAACTGCAATTACTGTGAACGTATAAAAAAAATTAAATGGTCTGGTTGAATGAAAAGTATAATATTTTCATATGAGATGGAAGGGTTGTTTATAAGCCATCTGGTGGAGTTGTTGCAGTAGTAAAATGTTCTGTCTGCATGATATCCACTCTCGTAGCTTTAAATAAAACTGGTGCTGATATTCCTGTTGAGGAAGAAAGAGTACATTAAAATGAATGATGACAAATTTCTCTTACTTCTTAGTAATGGGAATTATAAGTGCATATTATCCACAGTCTCCCGACGTTAAGCCAAGGCCCTGTCTTGTCTGTTTGTTTAAAAATTCCATGGCACTATTCAAAAAGGGAAGGTAGTTTCTTTCCCCTGGTGTCCTGGCCAACAATAACTGAAATTTGTCATTGGTCACTTCCTAGCTGTTTGTGAGACATTGCTGTGTGCAAATTGGCTGCCAAGTTCTCCCACAAATCACACGGTCACGACACTTGACATTAAATCGTGGGAAGCGCTTTGGGGGTGACCTCCCAACATGAAAGGTGCTATATACAATGTATTTACCACTAACCCTGATCCTAAGAGCTCTATATTCCACAATAAATATTGCCAGAAAGTGCAAATTTATATTCATCTGTAATTTTCTCATTTTAAACATTTATATCACAATTTATTTTTAAAATTCCCTAAAAGTTTCTTTATTTCATGTCCATAACTTCCTAAACAAGTTGTATGTAGGATGGCACCACAGTAACCTATAATTTTAGAGAAACTTCATACAGCTGCTTGCTGGATAATGCTAGGGAAAACATTGCAACCATGCCATTATTTAAAGTTTATATCTCTAAAATTAAAACACGGGAAGGGATGTGTATCCGAGTTCTGGATAGGAAGATGGTGGCAATGTTCTTATGCATTGCATGCTGAGCTGTGTTGCCCACCAAGAAGTTTGCAGGGAGCTCCTGGCATCTGCCATCCACCTAGCGAGGGCTCAAACTCACATTTGTCAGATGTCAAATGACCAGCTAGTAAGTATCCTCATTGGGAGGGGGAGGTAAGCTGGGTCTCCTTGCAGCTGAACTAGCTTCATGGTGATGTTTGGCAACAGTATGTCAGAATCAAGCCCACCCTCTGTGACAGTCTTGGTAGTCCAGTTCCTGAGGTAGGCAGATCCGCAGTACTACAAGACATTGCTGGTGACAGCACAGTCAGGCTGGCTTACTTGGATGACTTGAAGGGGACACCAGTAACTAGGGGCAGGGAATCACCTCAGTCAGCTCCCGTCAACCCTGCAAGCCAAAGATCTAATGGGTAGGGTGGCCGTAGCAGGAAGGCTTGCCAGACAGTCCTCTCAATGGCAAGGTTTTAGCTGGTTTAGCTCCATCAGTACCCCAACACACACTCTGGGGTCCCCAAACCTTGGCTCTCGCCAACCTGCACCTAATACTTTCCGGAATTAGACAAGCAGGATGTGTCCCTCCAGGGAGAGATTGCGTAATCCATTCCAGTAAAGGTCTCTGGAATTTCCATGTATAGATGGGATTCATGGAATTCTCAGTTTGATTTCGATACTCTTAAGTGTGGTAATGGGTTTCTGTGTGTGTCAGACACCCAGCTGACCCCCCAAAAAGTTGAAACATACAGCATACCTCTATTATTACTATTATTTAGCTTTATCACACTTTTTTTAATATAAATTGTTTTTCATTTTAGGAGTACTGTGGAAAAGGCAGAGAGCTTTTGAAGAAACTTGAAGAGTGGTGTGGTTTTCAGTCACCAGAACTACACGTGTTTCAAGTGAAACTGCAGAGGTACAAAAGACAGTTTGGGGAATTTGCAAGAAAGGTAGAAGAATGCAGGCAGACGATCGACAAGACTGTGAGGCTATATGCATTTTTTGATAAGGTAAGTAATCACTAAAGCATTTGCTTGTTTTTCTGATTCAGTTTCTGACTTTTACCGATTTTAAAAAGTATATAAAATATTTTTTGAATAAGATTAACAAAATTAGGTTGAAACAACAAACAGAGTTTTGAACTTAAGTTAGATTGTGGAAATCAAGAATCCACTTTAAATCCTGTACAGGTGTATGATGTATTTACCTATTAATACTATAATGTTGTCGTCCTGACCTCCACTTTTATTAGTCTCTTCTTCCTGCCTTTCTTTGTTTTCTCATTGTCGCACACTGCTCTCCTGATGAGAGGTCAGGCAGGCATTCTGCTCCCAGACCTCTGCCTAACCTATTGTGTGACCTGTCACTGGGACATACACAAGAGCCACCCAGGGTGTCATGCCTGCCCATTTTCCTCTCTCCCACTTCAGAAATGCCTTGCCTCTGCTCAGTGCCTTCCCTGGAAACCAGGAATGAGGTTGGGACTCACTTTGTGGGGAATTTGACCTCAAAACTGCAACCTATTTATTACTTCATGATGTAATGCATTGGTTCCCCAGCTCACTACTTTTTACCTTCTTCTCTGTTATTTCATTCCAATTACCTGCATTTGAAGTATTATTTCAGCAGTCTAGAAATAATCACCTGTGTAAGATTCCACTTTTAAATATGTTTCTTAAACACATACTGTAGATTGATTATTGAATTGTCCAGATGTGCCTTATGGTTGTTAGATAAGCAGTAAGACAGTTGTAATGCAAAAAAAACTTGTCTAGTTAATTCATTTGCAAATTAAGTGTTATGGCTGATGCCATTAATGGTTTTCCCCACGGTTTAGAAGGAACTGTAATGTAGTTTTGCTTTAGGTGAAACAATGGTCTATAATCATTCTATTTGATACCAGACACTTTTTTGGCTTCATTTTGGCTTTATTTTCTTCCCCTATTTGCATTTCCCTGGTTCACATGCCAGTCCCAGCCCGAGAAGGCAAGCAGGTCACTTGCTCCCAGTCTTTTGCCAATAGCTCTCTTGAGGATCACTAGGAGGCATGTGAAAGTGATTTGAGGTAGGGGTGGGTGGGCTTGCTTTCAAATTTTCCCTTCACTTCTTTTGAGATATTTAAACCTGCCACAGTTTTACAAAAATATGATGTGTGTGTGTGTAGTGTTGAGAACTCTCTTGAATGTCTGTTGCACAATAGAAAGAAAAGTGCCTCCACACTTGAGTAATCTCATCAAGTAAATTGTTTAAGCATGCCCCTGGTATATGCCAACGGTCATCGGCTAAAGGGCTGTTATGTATGAAAATAATAATTTTCATTGACTTTAAATTCCTCATATGGATATTTATTTTGTTGCTGAAAGTGGCTGTATCACCATAATTCACATCTCACAGAAATAATCTGCTATGCTGATCCTATTATAATGTCGCTCCAAACCATCACCTGTATCCAAGATAAAAGTTCATTCAGCTTTATCAATAGTTTATTTTCACACATAAACTAGAACAATGGTGTAAACAGACAGTAAGCTCATCAAGGATCACTTAGATACAATATTTATCCAGAACATAAGTCCTTCTAAAATTCAGTCAGGTCCAGTTTTTCGATTAGTTCTGTATTGCACCCAAAGCATCCCTGATGTAAAATCATTTTGGACTGTGAAGTGCTTTTTGATGTTTCAACTACACGATAAGGTACAAGATCAAATACAAAGATTATTGTTACAAAGTCATTAAATACATTTTGCTCATGTACAACAGTGGGAGTGGATGAATTTGTAACTTGGAAAAAAATAGGCAAGTGAGAATGATCCCATTTTAAAAATCCATTCTATTGCTATTTGTATTGCTTGCAGATTTGTAGCTGAAATTGCTATAAACTGTTAAGCCTCGTATTACAGAATTGGCCTTGGGGGCGTAGTAATACTTCAAAACCCTTTGTTTTTAACATAGTGGATTTGATAATTTTTGCCCTTGATTACAATTTATCGTTTTTTTAATATTGGTTGAATTTCGATCCTACACGTGATTTTCCTGAAGTGCCTTTTTTGTGTTTAAGCTTTTTAAAACCTTTGGAACAATTGAATGATGCTTCTACAATAGAGGTTGATTGATAAAATATTGATTGTATGTTAATTGTTTTAAAATGTATAATTTTTAGGACAGCAAAATATAAGCTGTTCCTGATCTATTCTTATAAATAAACCAAACTTTACTGAAGGGGAGGAACAGGGGGGATGGAGTTATGACTCTGGCTTTCCTCTTTATCTAATATAACTGCTTGTAAGCTCACAGTTTGCTCCTGTAGATTGAACAAAGTCTGACTTGTAAACATCACTGCTATCTAAACAACAGAAGCATGCTTAAATGTTGAGCTCATGTTCCAGAAGTCTACACTAAAACAAGCTTCTTTGCATGCACTTCAATTAAAAACATTTATACCCATATATCACAATTGAACATCAATTTCAAAATGTATTCACTATATTTATAATAGTAATCCTTGCATTTGATTTAGCACCTTATCACGTGCTTCACAAGATATACTGTAAAGTGGTTGACTGTATTTTGTGGGAGAAACTTCTGAATGCTCTTCAGAATGTAATATAGTTCCAATTTTAAAAACCTGCTGTGCTTTGTTTTTCAGTACGAGGATACAGAATAATTAATTTCAACATGTGATCTGTTGCTAAGATATCTCGCTGAAATGTGGCAAGCAGCCACTTTGAATAGAACAATAGGAAATTACTTTTGTACTGTCCTCACGTAACTTATTTTAGTCAAGAATTTGGGGTTGTTATTTTCTCTGTTTTGTGAGAACGTCTCTATACTAAAAACGATCCAGCAGCATTGGCTAAATTACTCAAAATTTGACAGAAAAATCATTTGCCCCTTGTGTGCGAGTGACTGGTGTGTTGAAGTCTTAATCAGAGATTTTAGAAAAAAAACTTCCGCCCCCCCCCCCCCCCCAAAAACCCACATACAGACAAAAGACATTGTTTAACTGAAAAGAAACACAGAAGAAAATCATTGTTTAATTGGAAGAAAGCAACAAAAAAATCGAGATTTAATTAAAGCAAAAAAAAGGCGCAGAAATCATTAATTGAAAAATCCTTGCCTGTGGCCAACTGAAGTGTTTCAACTCATCTCGTATAATTAGCTCATTGAGGACTTAAAGACTTTGGTTAGAATTCAGACACTCAGCTGTATTGTTACCTGTCGCCAGACCTCTCAAGGTTATTGGTTTTTTAGAATTCTGTCATATTATAATAATAATTCTTGCAGTTGATATCCTGCCTTATCACATCTTGGAGACGTCTCAAAACGCTTCACAGAATAGACTGTAAAGTGAATTGACTGTATATTTTGTGGGCGGAATATACAATGTTCACTATTCGCCCACAAGTATACAGTCAATTCACTTTACAGTCTATTCTGTGAAGCGCTTTGAGATGTCGAGAAGACGTGAAAAGCGCGATATCAAATTCAAGGATTATTATATTATTATAATATATTGACCTGTAGGGTAAGCAAATCAATGTGTTCTAAGTAAATAACATGAATCAAACAAGATTTAAAAGTTACTGTCTTAGAGGTCATCCTTCCGTCACCTTTGACCTATAATCTTTTTCTCTCTGCAATTTTTTTGTCATTTTCGAGCACATTGATACTGTTCTAGTCATTGTTCCTTTGAACTTTCTTCTTCCAAAGCTCCATATATGCCACCTCACATGCCCTTTCTCCTTTCTCTGCACACTCATTGTGTTGAAATCAAGACCTAATACACATTCTCATTCTTTCCATCAACTTAGTCTTCCGCAGTCTACAGGTTTTAAAATTCAAGCTACAATCAATATATAATACGCATGAAAATTAAAACTGATAGCAACGTTATAGAACTTTTAACTATCAATGTAAATGTTTCTTAAAAGCTTTAAAAATTCTTTTGAATGCTAAGTTCATATGAGCGAAAGACTTTATACCAGTAACCGGTGCATGTGTGTGTTTGAAGCCAAGGATCACATTACTCTAACTCACCCCATGCTACATTTATGTCACCCTGTCCAAGTGACTATTAATGTTAGACCAAGACTATTGATTAATCAATACAGTTTCATAATTGTAAGCCCTGGGAATAGTAGGTGGTATTTGATAACCCAAATGCACAAGTCAATCACATCTGTTGTTATTTTTTCAGTACTTGTATCTGTCTTCTCTCTAAATTAAGCTGTTGTACATCACTGGCATAGGCACATAGCTCAAATGACACTAAGGACAAGAGAAGCCAGCTTAATCATATATAATATTCTGACATAATTTTGGCAGTTAGGATGACGTTTTTATTTGTTTAACAGTAATGGTGCTTTTTCTACAGTTGTGAAGTGTTTCATCAAGGTGTATAGATTACACAAAGCTCGATCTAAAATGTTTTGCTGGTGCTGTTTATTATTCTTCAGATGTTGCCAAGCCAGGTTGCTGTCAAAATCTGCTGACATATATCATCTATTAGCTATAGTTAACAATTATATACATCTGCCAGAAGGAAAATGTTATCTTCTTAACCAGCATTTGTTTTACTATTGATTAACATTATATTTATTAACTCTGCTGAACTTTGGCCATTGAGATCTTTGTGCTGAACATTGCTTTTCTTTTAAACTTAATGGTTGAAATTCACTAAAACTACTGCGCATTGACTGAATAATGCTTTAAAAATCCAGTTCCATGTTTTGTTTGTTCCTGTTGCACAGTTCAATAATTTTGCAGTTCAGAGACTGACAGACAGACCTCCTCCCCCTTTCCCTTTTATTTAGTTACTGAGGGTCACCCATCTGGTATGCAGTCTAGCATTTGCCTGTGAATATCGAAGGGTTGGTAGGGAGCTAGGTTAGCACATTTGAAGGGAGGTGTAGGCTTAGTGTCTCTGAGCTTAGGATGATAGAATACGACACAGCTAAAGCAGCCTCACAGAGCCCAGATCTGGACACAGTTTGTAGACCCATACAGGTAG